TATCCGATTTCAAATTAATTCGTATTCCATATTTATTTTTATCTGATTTCAAATTAATTTTGCACAAAATGGGCAATACAAGTCCGAATTTAAAAGATACAAATGTTTCGGCATATTTAGTCCTGTGAACTTTAAATTATAATCATAGCGTGTATGATTGAATTCTCCCATAAAAAAAAAAACTTTTAATTGTTCTGCGGAGCTCTACTAAATTAGCAAAGTGGTGTAGGGTATCATAAAGTCGACCCCGCCCGACTTTAGGACTTTCTTTACTGGTTCGTAAGGTATATGTCGGAAATTCATAGATTAGTTTGGTTGCTTGGATATAGCTCTCGACTGAATTGAACCAAAGTTTCGAGGTCTGTCTTTTATTTTTGAAAAACTCAACTCACCAAAGGGTATTCTAAAAATCTACTCTCTCCTCCATAGCTTCCTAGAAATTGAAACTAAAATTAAATGGAATAACTCATAACAATTACCAGGAAAATATTTCAAATATTTAAATTATAAAATCACATTTTTAATTAGATTTGCTTGATGGTCCCCCCAGAGAGAATAAAGAGAAAAATTCCTAGGCATAATTAAATATTTGTTTTTGTTGTAGGAAATGTGACAAGTTTAAATACAGATTGTGTACAACAAACAATGTGGGAGTGGTGATTTGTTGTTGTTGTTGTTGTTCTTGTTGGGGTCATTATCTTATTTAAAAGTCACTTGTCCATTTAAATTATCACATTGTCATGTCATCGTAGCTCACAGACCAAGTGTGATGGACACACAAGCAAACATAAATACATACATTGTCAGGTAGGGAGGAATGTTTATTTTTTATAGAAAAATATTCTCTAAAGAAAAAAAAAAAAACATTCGTAGGATTCTTAGGGCCAATTTTTTTTTTTTTTTTTGGGAAAAATCGGTGGGCAACAAGGCCAATTTTTTTCTATAGAAAAAAATCAAAGTTACCCAGTATTGACTTTCGATAGATGACAGGTCCAAATTTTTTCATTGCACAAAATTCGCCAGGACCCAGAATCGGGGTTCTCCACACATGGTGAGATAAAAGAAAGACTGCAACAAAGTCAAACGCCAAATTTTTACTTTTTTTTAAAAATTTTATTGAATGTCGGAAATAGCATCAAATAGCAGAATTGGGGTTCTCTATACATGGTGAGATAAAAAAAACTGCAACAAAGACAAACGTCAAATTTTTACATTTTTTTTTTAATTTTATTGAATGTCGGAAATAGCTTTAAATTTTAGAATAAGTTTAGATTTGTTCGAATTGGTCACCTTTGGCACGAATTATGGCCTTCCAGCGGCCAATGAAACAATCACATGCTACCCGAATGTTGCTCTACGGTATTGTGACCCATTTTCCGACCAAGCGCTAGCTTAAGGTGATCGACACTTTGGTATTTTTTTAGGGCCAACCTTACTTTCCAAAATACTCCAGACACAATAGTTCAACGGATTGGCATCCGGAGATTTTTTGGTGGCCATTGTGCGCTGGAAATGAAGCGAGGAACCTCATTTCGTAACCATTCTTGGGAGGCATGTGCTGATTGGTGGTGAGTCCTGTTGGAATGTCCACAGCCTGCGGCCAAAATGTTTGCCTACCCAAGGCATTAATACACCCTCCAGAATATTTTCGCGATAATATTCGGCATTTATTCTGATGCCACGGTCGATAATTACGAGCGTAGCGGACCATCGGCTGTTATGCCGGCCCACACCATCACCATGCCCAGCTATCGGCGCTTGAGTTCTGGTGGCCAACCGAAGTTGCACATTTTCAGCTGACCTCTTTGGCAAGTAAACACGATCATTTTGTTTGTTTACAAACTGCTGGACAACGAATGTTTTCTCATCGAAGACGGAGAAAACCAAATTCGGCAATTCACCACTTTCGGCCAAGCGAAGCAAGTCTTTAGCTCTTTTGAGTCTATTTTCTTTCTGTTGCGGTGTAAGTTTTTGCACTTTTTGGAATGTCAATAGCTTTACCCCGAGCTCATTTTTCATTTTTTCAATATTTACCGAATGGAATATCGCGATATGTTCAACTCACGAAACATTTTTAAGCCACAGCGACGCGGGTTTCGGTCAAGTCGCTTCTTTACTTTTCGAACCATTTCAGCTGATGTTGCTGTTTTCTTCCGTCCACTTCCTTGACGTCTCCAGGGACGGATTTTTAAACGGATTTTATTTCACGAACGCAGAACCCTCTCGTCTTCTACGAATAAAAAAACCCATTGATCTTCTAATTTTGGAAAATTTCCCCTCCGTCACTTTCCAATTAAAACCAATTAAATTTTTGTGTGGCAATAAATCGCAAATTAATTAATAAAAAGCAATCAATCATTGAGAAGGCACCCGAATAAAATTTTTCAAATTTGCAATCGACCAAAACAACAACAAATCAAATGAACAATATAAATAAATAAATGAAAAAAGAACCATAGCAAATGGTTTTCAAAATTATTTTTTTTTTACTGATGAACAAAGCCAGCAAAGCAAAGCGAGGAAAATAAATTAACAAAATTTAAATTGAAGTATTAAATTACAAATCAAACACCGGGAACTTGGAACAACATCGGGTGGGGGGTTTGGCCAAGTGAAAAGAGGGGGATATTCTAAAGCATAGCAACAGAAAACTAATCAAAATTATGGGTGTGTTCGGAAAAATGAACTTTCGTATTGGAAATGTTTTTCTGTCGATACACTTTGGCTTTGGTTTTTTTTTTTTTTTTTTTTTGATATCCAAACAATTGCCGGTAAATAAACACGGAAGAAAAAAGGTGTAAAATGAATTAAATGGCTCGTGGAACCCATCAAAAAGTAGATTTTTTTCTAAACAATACTAAAATAATTGTTTATCAGGGATTCTAGCTAGTATTTGAGGTAAACAAATCGTTTGAATCTATCTAAACGCACCTTATAGCTTTCAGATTCTAACGAACTCATACATTCACACAAGGGAGCAAATGAAAAAAAAACTTTCAATAGAAAGAAATTCAATTGGATAAAACTTAATTATCAAATTTTTATTTAACAAAAGTCTGCGGATTTTCTCTATAAATGAAACGGGCTGAGCAAATTTTCCTACATGGAAAGAAAACCAGCTACTTAAAGCCAGGTAACTTTTTTTTTTCTCAAAAAAAAAAATAAAAATAAACCATGATCCCGAAGGATTTAGAAAAAAAATGATTCATGGAGAACGACAATTTTTTTTTCTAAAAAAAAACAGTCCATGGATAAAGAAAAAACAAAAATAGCTGCCTGCAGTACTGCGATTTTTTCTATAGAAAAAAACATGTAGCCTCTGAGCTCATGCGAGTTTTTTTTTTTTTTTGGTAAAAAAACCATTAAAAAAATCTATAATTTCGCCCGAACTCCACTTCAATTGGAAGCCAGGAAAAAGCTACTGCTACTGGAAGCCAGGAAAAAATGATTCATGGGAACGACAATTATTTCTTTTTCTAAAAAAAAAAACAGTCCATGGACCAAAAAAACAAAAATAGCTGCCTGCAGTACTACGATTTTTTTCTATAGAAAAAAAACAAGTAGCCTCTGAGCTCAGGTTTTTTTTTTTTTTTGGATAAAAAAAAACCATTAAAAAACCTATAATTTCGAGGCGAACTTCACCACTTGGAAAGAAATTGACAATTTTCAAAAAAAAATAAATAAATAAAATCAGTTAAAAAATTCTGTTAAAATCTTAAAAATACCGACGACGTGGACCTGCATCATCAACATCATCAAAATACCGAATATCGGAAGGTACCATTATATGGGGGCTATACCTCTCATATGCTGTACTTTCCATTACGAATTTCAAATATTACATTTTAAACAGTTCCGGTGAATAATGGCGCTAAAATCAACAAAGTACCGAATTTCGGGAGATACCGTTATATGAGGGGCTATACGAAGGCGTGTACCTGCACAGACAATTTTCTGTCATAGACTGTAGTATTATCGCTAAAATCATCAAAATACCGAATATCGGGAGCAGCCGTGATAATGGGGGCTATACGAAGGCGTGGACCTGCACAAATAATCTCCTGTTATATGCTGTAGTATCCATTACGAACATCAAATACCAAATTTGAAACAATTCCGGTTAATAATGTCGCTAAAATCACCAAAATACCGAATATAGGAAGGTATCGTTATATGGGGGCTATACGAAGATGTGGACCTGCACGGACAATTTTCTGTAATAGGCTGTAGTATCTATTTCGAACTTCAAAAACCAAATTTGAAACAATTCTGGTTAATAATGTCGCTAAAATCACCAAAATACCGTATATAGGGAGTTATCGTTATATGGGGGCTATACGAAGACGTGGACCTGCACAGACAATTTTCTGTCTTAGGCTGTAGTATCTATTTCGAACTTCAAATACCAAATTTGAAACAATTTCGGTAAATAATGTCGCTAAAATAATCAAAACACCGAATATCGGGAGGTACCGTTATATGGGGGCTATATGAAAACGTGGACCTACATGGCCCATTTACAAACTTAACCTGCCTACAGGAAAAAAATAACATGTGTGCAAAATTTTAGCCTTCTATCTTAATTCGATCGAGAGAGAGACAGACAGACAGACGGACATCGCAAAATCGGCATAGAATTTTATGCTGATCAAGAATATATATACTTTGTTGGGTCTGATATGAGTATTTCGAGGAGTTACAAACGCAATGACAAATTAATAATAATTAATTTAATTAATTAATATACCCTCCATGGTATGGTGGAGGGTATAAAAAGGTCAACACGGACTGTTGGAACGAATCAAAAATTTGAAGTTGGAATTTTTTACTGGCGAAGTAGCTGGGATTTGCTAGTGACCAATAATTGATTTAAAAAATATATAGCTTAGGCTCTTATAACCTATAGTGGGTTTTTAAAAAATATTATGCTCCGAGGTTTTATATTATATTTTTTAGTCTTTTTTTAGAATTTAAAAAAATAAAGAATTCTTTCATAATGTATCTTGGATTTAACAACCATTTTAGTATCACTATTCTCTATTTTTTACCTCCTCCATAAGTTATTCGATATTCCAAATTACGCATACGTACCTGAAAGAAGAAATAAAGAAGATATGTTTAATTAGAGATTTTTAAAATACTGAAAATATAGATTTTATTCTAAAAGCTCTACTTCTTTCTAAGCCTTTTCCTATATCTATTATAGCTCCCCACTTAAATTCCTCTCTCTCTTTCTCTCTCTCTCTCTCTCTCACTCAAAATATATTTTTCTAAAATCCTGTTTTCTTTCTAAACTTTTTCCTATATTCGTATCTTTTATTTCCTTCTCTTTTAATTCCTCTCTCTCTCTCTCTCTCTCTCTCTCTCTCTCCCTCAAATGATATTATTCTCTCTTATTATTTTCGCTGCTAATAAAACTTTCATTTGGGCTCACTTTTGGCGCGTTCTCCAAGTCTTTGTTTGCTGGTTGTTTGAATGGTCGGCTGCTTGGTTGGCCTAAACTTACCATAAACTTAACCCACTTAAAGTGATTTGGAAACCAGTTTCAATTCTATGAAATCGTGCTGTGCTGTGTTTTTTACTGGTACTTTTATTGTTTTTTACAATTTATTTCTATTTTTGCTTCATTTGCCATGCGATGCCATGCCAAGCCAAGCCATATGTATAACTTGTGGTAAAAACGTTTTCGCTGTAACTCCTTTACAGAAATTGGCTAAACAAAAGACGCAGAGAGAGAGAGAGAGGGGGAGAGAGAGAGGGAGAGAGAGAGAGGGGGAGAGAGAGGGGGAGAGTGAGAGGTATGGGTAAAGCGTTAGGGGGGAGATATCTAAAACTCCATGCTGAGGAGGATGGATGACTGGATGAATTGGTTGGTTGGCTGGCTGGTTAACTGGCGCTTTTTGTTAGACTGGATGAATCATCAGTAAAAGTCAACATTTTAACAGATTTTGTTGTACAAACACCACCAACAACAACAACATGGAGAGAAAAAAAGAGTTGTGTGGCCGCAACCGGTATATTTTTGTGGGCTCGCTTTTACGAGCTGTGGAGGTTTGGTATCAAATTATCGCAACCAAAACAAACCCAAAGAGTTTTAGAAGAGTGGTAAGAGGAGGAGAAGTGCTACTCTCCGATTTCCTGGCTGGTTTTCTCAAACTTCAGTTGCATGCAACAGTTGTTTTCTGAGTTGTACGCGATCACTTTACCCTCCCCTAACTGCAAATGCTTAGGAGTTATTAACTTGTTATGGCCACTAATACTTTGATGGGGCGCTGTAATCCCCCCCACAACTTGAAATGGAGATTGTGGCAGAGATGTGGAAAAAGTTGTTGCCTCTTCATTTGTTGCCTGGTTTTGCAGTTTCATCGCTCATTTGTGGGTGGACTTTGGACTGCCTGACTGCATCGCTCTGTATGGATGATGGCAATAAATTTGTTAACAGTTAGCCGAATATAATTCGGCACGAGTTCACAATTTATTTGCCAAATAAAATTAATCGTCTTTGTTTTTAATGTTCTTCAAAGGGTTCAATATTTTGGCGAACATTGTTGGAGAGAGAATTTTGGATGCAATGAAGAGTTCATTGTGAAAAAGTTCAGCTCCAAATCGAAAGAACAAAATTGGACCATAAATTGAACCGTAGAATTTTGTAGAGCTTCTGAGTTATGGACCTCTGGTGAGCTAGTAAACCGTTGGTGAGCTTGTGAATCTCTTGTGAGATAGTGAACCTCTGGTGTGAGCTAGTGAACTTCTGGTGAACTAGTGAACCTTCGGTGAGCTAGTGAACCTTTGGTGAGCTAGTGGACCTTTGGTGAGCTAGTGGACCTTTGGTGAGCTAATAAAACTTTGGTAAGCTAGTAAACATCTGGTGAGCAGCCAGTGCACCTCTGGGGAGACAGTGAACGTCTGGTGAGCTAGCGAACATCTGGTGAGCAGCCAGTGCACCTCTGGTGAGGTAGTGCAAATAGGGTGAGATATTAAACCTACGGAGATCTAGTGAACCTCTGGTGAGCCAATGAACCTCTATTGAACAAGTGAACCTCCGGTGAGCTAGTGAACCTATGTGAGCTAATGAACCTCTGGTGAGCTAGTGAACCTATGGTGAGCTGGTGAACCTCTGGTGAGCTAGAGAACCTCTGGTGAGCTAGTGAACCTCTGGTAATCTAGTGAACCTCTGGTGAGGTAGTAAACCTCTGGTGAGCTAGTGAACCTCTGGTAAGCTAGCGAACACCTGGTAAGCCAATGAACCTCTAGTGAACAAGTGAACCTCAGGTGAGCTGGCCAACCTCTCGTGAGCTAGTGAACCTCTGGTAAGCTAGTGAACCTCTGGTGAGCTAGTGAACCTATGGTGAGGTAGTAAACCTCTGGTGAGCTAGTGAACCTCTGGTAAGCTAGCGAACCTCTGGTGAGCCAATGAACCTCTAGTGAACAAGTAAACCTCAGGTGAGCTGGTCAACCTCTGGTGAGCTAGTGAACCTCTGGTAAGCTAGCGAACCTCTGGTGAGCCCATGAATCTCTAGTAAACAAGTGAACCTCAGGTGAGCTGGTCAACCTCTGGTGAGATAGTGAACCTCTGGTAAGCTAGCGAACCTCTAGTTAGCCAATGAACCTCTAGTGAACAAGTGAACCTCAGGTGAGCTGGTCAACCTCTGGTGAGCTGGTGAACCTCCGGTGAAATAGTGATCCTCCTGTGAGCTAGTGAACCTACGGTGAGCTAGTGAACATCCGGTGAGCTAGTGAACCTCTGCTAAACATTCGGTGAGCTAGTGATCCTCTGGTGAGCTAGTGAACCTCTGGTGAGCTGGTAAACATTCGGTGAGCTAGTGAACCCATGGTAAGCTAAGTGAACACCTGGTAAGCCAATGAACCTCTAGTGAACAAGTGAACCTCAGGTGAGCTGGCCAACCTCTCGTGAGCTAGTGAACCTCTGGTAAGCTAGTGAACCTCTGGTGAGCTAGTGAACCTATGGTGAGGTAGTAAACCTCTGGTGAGCTAGTGAACCTCTGGTAAGCTAGCGAACCTCTGGTGAGCCAATGAACCTCTAGTGAACAAGTAAACCTCAGGTGAGCTGGTCAACCTCTGGTGAGCTAGTGAACCTCTGGTAAGCTAGCGAACCTCTGGTGAGCCCATGAATCTCTAGTAAACAAGTGAACCTCAGGTGAGCTGGTCAACCTCTGGTGAGATAGTGAACCTCTGGTAAGCTAGCGAACCTCTAGTTAGCCAATGAACCTCTAGTGAACAAGTGAACCTCAGGTGAGCTGGTCAACCTCTGGTGAGCTGGTGAACCTCCGGTGAAATAGTGATCCTCCTGTGAGCTAGTGAACCTACGGTGAGCTAGTGAACATCCGGTGAGCTAGTGAACCTCTGCTAAACATTCGGTGAGCTAGTGATCCTCTGGTGAGCTAGTGAACCTCTGGTGAGCTGGTAAACATTCGGTGAGCTAGTGAACCCATGGTAAGCTAAGTGAACCGTTGGTGAGCTAGTGAACCTCTGGTGAGCCAATGAAGAACCTCTGTTCAACTAGTTAACCTCTGGTGAGCTAATGAACCTCTGGTGAGCTGGTGAACCTCAGGTGAGTTTTTGAATACCTGATGAGCTCGTGAACCTCCGGTGAGCTAGTAAATCTGTCGTGAGTTATTAATTATGTAGTGAGGTATTGAACCTGTGAAAAGGTAGTGAACCTCTGGTGACCTACTGAGCCTATTGTGATCTATTGAACCTATGGTGAGCTAGTGAACACCTGTAAGCTATTGAACCTCTGGTGAGCTAGTGATTACCTAATGAACTCCTGGTGAGCTAGTGAACCTCCGGTGACCTAGTGAAGTTTTTGTGAGCAAGTGAACCTCTGGTGAGCTAGTGAACTCCTCGTAGGCTATTGAACCTTTGGTGTGCTAGCGAACCTCTAGTAAGCTAGCGAACCTCTGATGAGCTTATGAACATCTGGTGAGCTAGTTAAACCCTCATCCTTCCTAATCTAAACTATTATACCTCCAATTAAAAATTAATAAATTTTCGATCACAAACGAACTTTCTTCCCACAAAATCTGTACTCACTTCCGCACATTCCACATCCACACTTCCTTTCCCAGTCTAACAGCTAGTTCAGCTCCCAATACTCTCAGGGATTTTGCTATAATTTTATCGATTTCCCTTTCTCCACCACGGCGGAAAGAAAAAATCATTAATTGCACTTTAACCCACCACTGCCAACCATTCACCATATGGTACTACAATGACTAAGCGAATAATCAGCAAACCTTTCTATAAGTCACAACATAAAAAAAAAACTAAACACTTCACTTCCTGTTTCTTATTTCTTCTCTTCTAGTTTTTAGCGAATATCCAACATTAATTGTCAAGAAATAAATGTAAGAAGTGGAGGGAGGGGGGCTGGATGTGATACCACCAACCAGGCCCGGTTGCTTGGCACATAAAGTGTTAAGAAAACAGACAACTTAATGCGCGGCCACTGGAGATGGACGCCAGACCTCCACACCGCAACCACCACATCCCAACACACATTCACACTCACACATTTACTTAAGTCCGTTCATTTGTCTGGATTTTCGTAAGACTCGAATGATGTGTTTTTATCTGTAACGTGGAAATCTTTGACGTAGCTTCGCTTCACTTTTTTTGCATAACCGCGGTAACTTGCCACAAATCTCTGCTGGCGATTAAGAAAGGCGTCTGTTTATTGAGATTATTACATTATGAAGTTGTATTTTGTTTACTCCGATGATAATCCCTCTTGAAACGAGTTCCTGGGACAAGTTGGCAGGCAAAATGGTAGCAGACGCAATAGCAAAAAAAAAAGAAAAACAAAAAACAACCAGGGAGGACTTTAAACCCAAGTCGTAGCCGTAGAGTTTAAAGAACTTTAACAAAAGCAAACAGCAACGAACTAGGAATAACTAGTTTCGAGATAAACGTCACAAACTGGAGCACAACGCAAAAGGCGGCACCGGTGTTGGTAGTAGAGGATGACGATGATGATAACGCTAAGGAAGAGGTGTGGAATAGGAGAAGAAGATGGAAGGGTAGAGTTAAGCCAAGGGATTTATTTTGAAATGAAGATCAAGTTTGCTACG